CTTGATTATGTTCGGAAAATTTTCCGAGGGAGTGAAGATCTTAAAGGCAAGGAGTTACATGTTAAGGCTGATGTCTTGCATACAAAGCTAGTTACAAAGATGATTTCACATTCAGACCATTGTAAACTAGCTTTGTAACTAGCTTAGTATGCAAGACATCAGCTTTAAGATGTAACTCCTTGCCTTTAAGATCTTCACCCCCTTGGAAGATTTTCTGAACATAATCAAGCTCTTTCATCAGAGTTTCCTCACCCATTCCTTGGCACAAGACATGAACACGTCCTTAACGAAGCCAAACATTTCCGAGGCATGACCAAATCCCAGACAGTAAAATTGCATCTCGGTTGTCCCAAAAGGGCCTTTGAGACTTGGACCTGGCTTTATAAGATTTCGACGAATACCAAAAACAACATGACACCAATGGAAGCATGCATCACAGCCTACCTAACTGCAAGTATTATTGGCACAGTCGAAGTTCAGACACACAAGACACATGTATTCGCTGCAGAATCCCTTCTTCGTTGAACAAATCTTACAGACGCAATCCTCAACAGGAAAAAGCCTCCTGCAATTTATGTTATGACACCTGCCTTTCAAGTAAGAAAATTTCAATCAATTCCGATGTTAAAAGGCGGGTGTTTTCAGATAAGAAGCTTCCAAGACCTGTTCTTATTGCAACCAAAAATTCTAGTTGGATCTTATGGCAGTTCAAGAGTCTGATTGGTAAGATTAGATCTCTAATCAAGTCTGTTTTGAAGGCTAAAAAACTCATATTTCCTTTCCGGCATTGTAATTAGGTTCCTCAAGTATTCTTTTGTTGATTCAACTGTTTCATCACCAAGCTGTTGCACAATCTGAGCCATAACAGGAATAGGCTCTGACACTATTCTTCTAAGTATTTTCTGTTGCCTAGAAAGCTCATATGCTCTTCCTCCATCCCTTTTCTCCAAACATTTCAAGTATCCCGAGCCTCTTTGCCTCGAACTCACTTGCTGACAATCAACAGTTCTAGGTCTCGCAAGCAAGTCGGATAGAAAAAATGAATTGTTATCCGAGCTTGTATTCCTATGAATACGATCACTACATGTTTCCTTATTGACCACTCAATTGTCAAGATTAAAAGTTCCACCAACATGGTTTGACAATGCAACACCACCATCACGAATTGGCCTAAACCTGATATGAACTGATCGAATAGTTCCTTTTCTGCAATTCTCTTGCCTAGTAAGATTATGTGCATTTCCTCCATAACGTTTCAAATATCCTGAGCCTCTTCCCCTCGAATCATCTGACTGACCACTAACCATTATATCTAGAAGAATAAAATTTGCAGAGAGATTAAAAACTTACAGATTGGAAGGAAGAACTTCTGAATTTTCTCTCTGAGTAAAAATATTTTCACACCTTTTTTATACCAAAGCATAAAAATCAAAATCCTATCTGTCTTTACAGGTAGACATTAGCAAAATGACAAAAAATGGTTTGTTGTGTCTGAGGATAATTTCAAAGTAGTTTGTAAATGTAATCTGATAGTGATTATTGTCTCCAGAGATTTTTGATTTTGAGTATCTACTTTTTTGTTCATATTTTTTCTCTATTTTTCTTCAAAATCTCATGCAAAATACTCTTAAAAATCAGTAATATGTTTAGTGCGTTGAAGTCCAGAAAACTTGCCTAAACCTCCTATGAACTGATCGAATGGTTCCTTTTCTGCAATTCTCTTGCCTAGTAAGCTTATGTGCATTTCCTCCATCCCTATTCTCCAAACATTTCAAATATCCCGAGCCTCTTCCCCACGAATCACCAGACTAACCACTAACCATTATATCTAGAAGAATAAAATTTGCA